AGAGAGAGAGATGAGGATGAGAGTGCGGAGACCTTATTCACCTTTTTGGCGCGTTGGTAAGGCGGTTAGGAGAGGGGAGGGGGGGTTGTGGAGGGGGCGAGGGCGGGCGAGCGGAAGGGAGGGAGGGGGAAGTCTTGAGCCCGCCAACCGCTGCGCTGCGGTGCCGGTCGCCTCGCCGGTGCCCCGGGCCCGGCCAGTCTGATGCCGACCGCCGTCTCTGCTGTGAGCGTGCGTCACGCTCGCTGTCCGTCGTGAGAGCACGCGTCTGGACCACGTCTGTGCCTCCGCTTGTGACGACTCTCCGCAGCGCGTGTGTGTGCTAGTGTGTGTGTGTGTGTGTGTGTGTGTGTGTGTGTGTGTGAGTGTTGTAAAAAGACAGATAGATGTGTAGGTGACAGTGCGACGAGGATAACACAGTGGATTACCCGCAGCGAGAAACGACCCCCCGCTATGAGGATACGATGCCCGACGACGGCGACCTGATGCGGCGACGGCGTGGCCGCGGGTTCGAACCTCGGGCCTGGCATGCCGTCGTCGTCCTGGTGCTGGCGGCGTGCTGTCTCCCACGCGACGTGCTCGGCGGCAGGCACCGGCACGACCATCATGGAGGCGACGCACCGCGGCAGCGAGCAACAAGGCATAACGGGATTAGCAAACAAGGTAAGAGCGAGTCCATCACTCAGCCCGCTTGTCCCCGCCACGCCTCGCCACGCCGCGCCACGCCCGGGGAGAGTTGAGAATGTCACTGCAGCGGTAGCTGTGGCAGCTGCAGCTGTGCGCCGCGACAAGAACAGAGCGAAGTCGGTGTACAAACCTAACCTACCGTGTCACATGGTTCTGCAGGCACCTTGCGATATCCTGCGCCAGCGCGTCTCCACCCCCCGCCCCTGAGTCCTCTCCGGAATGTCTTCTGATTGACACTATGACGCCACCTAGGTATGGGGCCATGGGGGAGGGGAGTCGGCGGTCGCTCAAAGCCAGGGTCCTCAGCACCTTCTGACACCTTAACGAAGATCTATGAGCGGCCCTTTTCCCGGCCGGGCCGTCCTCTGTCTCTGTCGCTCCCACTGTTGTGCCCGGAGGTCGAGGGAGACAAGGGCGCCGGTGTTTGGGGACCTGGTTTGGGTCGGTTCTCTAACCTGAGGCGGGCCCTGCCGTCCCCGTACCTGGACACCCGTACACTCTCTCTGTCTCTCTCGCTCTCTCTCACACACACTCACTCCCCTTTTCCTCCATCGGTCGGCCGTGATCGCACTGCACCCCTTCGCGATCTCGTCGCTATCCCAGGCTTTGCCATTCCTCACATTCATCTGCTCTCGACGGGGTGCTGTAGAGTCCCGGGGGCGCCGGCTGCGGCCGCCCTGCCGCGGTTACGAGAGTTGTGGGAGGGGGGCGTGGCGGCCCGGGCAGGCGAGCCGAGGTGGCCGGCCGTAAAGGAACCAGCCCAACAACGTGAAAACTAATAAAGTCCCCCTGGCTCCCCTGGCCAGCCAGCCGGGCCCGACGCATATACAGGATCACCCCGCCCCGCGCCCCGCCCCGACTCCAGCCGGGTCCAGAAGAGGGCGTACCGGGGCGTGCCCGAGGCTCGGCCGGAGGGCAGCATCGCTCAGCGGCTCGGCACCTCACCTCACCTTAGCGAGTGCTCATTGTGCAGCCCGGCTGCAGCAGCGCAGGGGTGGTGGAGGGCGCGTCGGGCCAGACTCTGCGGCGCGCTGCGAGGCCCGGAGCCCGAGGCCTCACTCTCAGGTGTCACCGGCGCCGGCCGAGGCCGCCGATTGGGATGTCACGCGGCGAGGACAGCAGGCCGGAGGCTGGCCCCGGGCCCGGCCGCGCGGCGGGGGTGTGACGGAGAGGCGCTCGGTCCGGCCGACACCCCCGTGGGTGGGCAATTAGTGCGACGAGGACAGGACAGGCGCACAGGTGCCAGCCGAGCCAGGCCCAGGCCAGGTAGGCTGGGCTCCGCTGGGCTCTGGACAAAGGAGGACCCCGGCCGGGGATGCGCCCGCCGGCCTGGCCAAGCGCCTTAGACCCCCCACTGATCGCCAAAAAAAATATCCTTTAAATGACATAAGCAGTCGAACTGCAGAACAGACCTGGCTGCTCTGGCGCCGAGAAGGTGATTCGAACTGTGAGGTGGGCAGCCAGCAGAGAGAAATGGTAATCACCGCTTAATGCAGGGGCCTTCCCTCTCTTGTTGATGCTCTACTCCTGACGGGTGTGTAAACTGCTGGACCATTTATCTTTCTAACGGGGTGACTAACTCGTTAAGCGGATGCAGTATATGTATCTATGAGGAATCGCTGCGTCAGACTCTGCCAACCTGACTCAGCAATTTCTCATGACGTGTTTTTTAAGGGAGCCCACGAGGAAGACGTAACGGGGTACGCGCATATGGCTCTGCATGGCGTTGGCTGTCGTATACCTCGGGCCGGCCCCCTCGGCGGCAGCCCGGCCGGCCCGGCGCGCGGCACCCAGTGGTTGCTTGCATGACCAGCAACCCTTTTATGGATTGGCTCGGCTGGACCGCTTTTTACGCGACATCGGGATAAAACAATAAAACACACACTCACACACACACACTCACAAGCACACACTCACACACAAACACACACTCACACACTCACACACACACTGCGGCCGACGGACCGCAGCCAGCAGGACCCTGCAGGTGGTGCGGGCAACCCTCCTACTACTGACCGGGGGCCTCCAGGACTCCAGGAACTTTCAAGGAACCTGTTCGTCGGCACCACGCGGATCTTCAGGACATCCAAGACTTTTCAGTGTACGAAGTGGAAACTTCAGAACCTGCAAACCTTTTATTCTTGGACTCTAGGACTCATGTGACACTCCAGGACTTCTCGACCTTCTCTAGGATATCTAGGACATTCGTCAAGTCCAGGACGTACTAGCCCCAGGCCCTTAAACCTCCCTACCCTTTGGAGTGAGTCCTTTCCCACCGCCCGCTGCTATTTGCGGCGCTGCCAATTGGCGAGCAATTGGCTTCCAGCAGCCGGCTGCGGCGCCTGGAGCGCCTGGAGCGCCTGGAGTCCAGAGGTCACCGGGTGGGAGAGCCAGCAGGGAGGCATGCGATGCGTGGTGCGGGGCGTGCGGTGCGGGGACCGGAGAATGTTTCGGCCCTCCTTCTCTTCCCGTAACTCTTTTAGTGTGCGGCAGGGCGGTGCGCACGTGACACACCCGCACTGCGCGTACCGGTACCTCCCCGTGCCTCCTCACCCCATACCTACCCTCCCACCACCCGCTCTTATCGCCCGTGTTTATCTTTGCGTTACGACGCCATTGAAGAAGTTTTAAAGGCATTTTTTTTATTATTATTTTTGCGTTCCGCGCATCCATTGTGAGAGTCGCCCGGGCGTCGCAGCACTGGGTTGTTGATGTTATTTCCCGCCGAGAGCACCGCGGTGTTTGAACCGTGCGCTGCGCGCCCCATGGGTACTTGGCATGGAGGAATTAAGTAAGTAAGAAGTTAGTCTAACATGTTTCCTCCACGGTACTTGGATACCCGCGGGAGGGGAAAGGGGTGGGAGGGGAGGGACGGTAGACTAAATGGCTCTTTGCCGTAAATGATCCGAGCCCCCCGCTTGCACGCGAGTGGGCGTGGCGTGGCGTGGCCGCTCACTTGACGCCTCTAATGATGATGTTTGGTCCCGTGTGATCACCGCTATATGCTTTGGGAAGGGCCGAGGAGCCGCGGCGGGGACCTGCCCCTCTCCCCTCCCTCGGCTCAGAGGCGCATCAGTTGCACCGATACACTGATGACTGTCCGCGAGCCGGGCTGCAGCTGACCGCCCCGGCGCGGGCCGACCGAGAGTAACTGCAGGCCGAGGGTGCCTAGATGTATCCGAACGTTGAGGGACCGGCGGGGGGGGGGGGGTGTTCATCTTTAGTGCAGCAGCCCGCTCTGTTCGCTGCTGCCCGTCCCGTTTGCGCTTTGCTAATTTCTTTGCTCGGCCATAAAAACGCCATGTTTTATGCCTTTAGCTTCCTCGTGTGTGTGTGTGTGTGTGTGTGTGCGTGCAAAAGAGAGACTGAGATAGACAGATGGACGTACAGCGTGTGCGATAGAAAGAGAGGGATTCCGCAAAGGTCGTCGACTCTCGCCAGTGTTTGAATCGTTTCATCAACAAGAATGTCCGGGATTAATCATCGTAAATTCATCATTCTGTTTGGTTGGCCCGACACGGGGCGGGTCAGGAGGGAAGGCGGCGTGAGAGAGAAGAGATGCGTTGTGATTTCGTTTCATTTTTACTTTTTCTTTGGAACGCACCTTTCTTTTCTGGCGTGAAAAACCTGCTGCTGTATCTATTTTATTTTTATTTTTAAACCCACATTTTCAAACCAAAAACAATCTATCCTTTTTTGATTTGCTCGATATCGTCACTCTGGCCTCAAATTTCTTAATTTGTTCAAATGGCAGGTGTGGTATAGGTACCTACACTGCTGCCGCTTGCACGATGCGCAATACCCGGCAATATTGACGTGTGCTGTTCTGTAGGGGGTTACTGTATGGGAATGAGTTGACTGCTGCTTGGCATTCGTGGACATCATACACACACATACTCACGAGCTGGAGCCATGCTGGCTGCTGGAGAGTGTTGCACAACAGCGAAAGACTCTGTGTGTAAGAGAGAGAGGGAGTGAGCGAGAGCGAGTGAGAGAGGGAGAGAGGAGGACTGTGTGTGGGTCCGCTCGTAATTGACATTTAGCTTGTTCAACCATCTGTTGCTGCTACTGGGGCCGATACTCTTTGCTACAGGGTCCCCGAGGAGGGGGGGGGGGGGCAGCGAGGACAGACAGCACCACGAACTCTTTTTCTCTTAACTTCCCTTTTGTATCTCTGCCTATGGTATGGGGGCATGACCATCTACAACGTGTAGCAGCGGCATCAGCAGCGCACGCACTACACGCTTCTCCTTTCATCCCCGCGACGCCGAGGTTAACAATATTTTTAAAAGAAAGAAAAGTAAGTTTCTGTGTGAGTGCGCCGCGTGCGTGCGTGTGTGTGTGTGCGGCGGCGTGTTCCCCGGGCCATGGGCCGTGTTTGCCCTGATAGGTTTACGAGCCCTTTCGCCGCCATCGCCTCCCTTTCCCCGCCCGGCCCGCCGCTCCGCCCCGAGGCTGGCCGCCGTCGCCGTCCCCGCTGTCGCCTCCTCGGGGACATGCCGCGGGGCGCGGCGCCCAGGGCCCCGGGCGGCGCGGGCCGGACCAGTGGGGCCCCCTCGACGGGGCCCGCAGCGCAGCGCAGGGGGGCTCATCAAGACGTCCCGCCCCATGACGAGAGAATGCCTCGGCGGCAGGAATGTCTGCAGCGCCAAAGTCGCCGCGGCGGACGCCGGTGACGTCCAGTCGTCCAGCGGGGGAACAAGAGGACGGTTCCCGAAACGCGACGTCTTTTCCGGCAGCCTCCAAATTAGTGGGCGTCCTGGAGGCGTTCCCCGGACCGGACGGCAGCAGCGCCGCTCCGGAGGACCCGGCCTGAGGAGCAACAGGCAGTGGTTCAAGTCCAGCGAGTCCGCCGCCGCCGTCGTGTGTCCCCGCAGCAGCAGCGGGGTTTTTATTTTGTTCCTTTTTTACCCCTTTTGCTCCGAGATCGCCTTTCTGCCGGCCGCCCTTGCGGTACGAGCGGCGCGGCCGGCAATACCGGCACAAAATAAACCCCGCAGCGAACTGTATAATAAAAAGCGCAAAAAGAAATTATGTTAATAGGTGGCGTCATAAATAAGGTGGACACGTTGGCCCGTCCCGAATGCGCGCGCAAGGACATATTGGGGCGGTATGTGTACAGCGGCAGCCACAGAAAGGAATCAACGATGATTCAGGTCGTGAGGTCATCATTATAGGGTGTTCCGCTGGAACTAAGAGAAGATAAAGCATGACTGCTCGACACTTTTCCTTGTGCGCGCTTATTGGCTGACTGACACACCGACGCCCCGACGCCGACCGATGACGCCGACGCTATCGTCGACCGATCAGCGTTCAGGAGGAAACAGATCGGGCAGTCGTGCTTTCCTCGGCTTTTTTTCTTCTTTAGGTTCCGATTGTCAGCGGAATACCCTATTGGTCCTGTATAGGCTGTCCTCGAACAAGAACACCAAATGTTATTACCACTATGTATTCGTATGGCAATCCAAAAAGAACGCCTTGTGAGTACATACGCAGCTCGAAAAATAAAGAAATAAATAAGGAACCGTGTGGTATCGTTTAGAGCGGTAAAGCAGAGCAAAGAGAGTCAAAGTTGTGTTGCACTCGGCCGTCGGGTCGGCGGGATGCCTGGCGCCCCACGGTGCCCCCGCCTCTCCCTCTCCTGTCGGGGCAGAGAGAAAGGGAGAGCGGAAAGAGGTGCAATAAAACCGTGCCTCGCAAAACATCTGGTCACTGGGTTCACCGAGCTTCGGGCCTGGTCCCCCGTGCGTAAGCGCACTAGCGGCTGCCGTACCGCGCGCCTATTGGTTAGGCGGGATGCGGTGGGGGAGGGCTACCTTCGAGTAGCCCAGCGCAGGTGTCTCACTCACTCTCGCTTGTACTCACTGGCGCGACAAAGACAAGCTACACGACTGTCACTCAGAGGCGACCGCGCGCGGATCTTTGAAGGGTGCCGAGGACAGTCGGCTACCTGAG